ATCTTGTTGCTGCACCACATCGGTGTAATACGATTTTCACCGGCTCTTTCTCGGAGTTACAGCTAGGCAAAATCGTGCCATAACTGTACACGAACAACGCGCGGATTTCGCCTGCTTCGACGTTGCATGTTGATGTAACGTGCGACGTGCCTTTTCCATAATAAATCCTAAGTGTAGGCCTTTACCTTTAATGTTAATTATTAATATTAATAACTATTATAATTTGGATTTTCATTATAGAGGGAGCATTTTCTCGAAAATAAAAACTCGTATTAACGAGTCAACGCGCAATAAATAAAGCTTCGGCAAAAAGAAAAACTTTATCCGATATTTATCGAGGAATTTATAAAAAGGAATCTTTTATCTTTAATATATATGTATACGTAAATATGTCAGAGTATGCATATGTTTAAAAAATTGATTACATATTTTAATATAACAATATCTCTCCATATAAATATTTATAAGGATTTTATATATATATATATATATATATATATATAATAAAACACTTATTTATATAACTGTTATATAACATTTTTTTCAGAATATCGCATTTTAACTGAATAAAACTGAATTTTCCAATAAGCTACTCGTGCTTGTCTGTATAAATAATAAAACGAATAAACAAATGTGAACAGTTCGTGGTAAAAGCGATTAATAAATGAAATAACTCCGCTTTTGAATCGCAGTTTCCTGACGCGCCGGACGATTCTCGTCTTGCACGTAAAGAAGTCTGCTCGGCAGTGGTTTAAGAATTCAGGCCGGAAGTGCGCACAGGAGTCACAGCTTTCGAAGACGATCGTAAAACGTCCCGCCAGATCTCCGTCGTTTCCTGATCCCCACCTTAGGTATCCTTCACCGCACTAACGAGCGCTTCTAGTCGGCGAGAAAGTCCAGCAGCGCCTGTGCGCGGCAAACTTCGACGAACTGAATTCTGCGGGTACCTTTGTATAAATGACGGCGTTTGCTAAGAGATATTAGAAATAATTCAAGGACAAATGTCTCTCTTATAATTTATGCAGTTATGCACGCATTTAAAAATTATTAGAAATAACTGTCCGTTCTAAATGTCTATTCAAATGTCTGTTCTATAATTTACGCAGTTACATACACATAACACGTTCTTTCTTGAAGCCACAGAACGACATTGATTGCTCCAATCGAGAGATGCGGAATTCTTTTCTATTTATGTCTCAAAGAAAACTCTTCCTCTCTTCCATGTATAGTAAATGACAATTTTATAAACAAGATATCGAAATATATTATTAGCAAAAAAATAAGCGTTGTAAACAAATAAGTCTGCGCTGCGTGTTACTAAAAGAAATATCATCAGGATCGAGAAAGAACCAAAACAAAGATTTAAGCGGACAATAGCAAGCAAGGTCTCAAGTGCTTGCAACAATTCCTTTTTTATTTTTTCAAATTTATGTATATCTAAATTCAAGATAAAAGTCGATTTTGACGCTGGTAAAGATTTGATAATGAAGCTTCTCGAAGATTCGTTTTTGAAATATTAAAACAAAGCGGCGACGTTGCGGAGGGGAAAGGCAGACAAGTACCAAACTACCGCGGGCGGAAGCGCGCGGTAT